GCTCTCGTGACAAGTACTGTACTTACCAACGATGTGACAGCCAGTACATAGCCAGTACTTCCCAACAGTGTAACATCCAGTACATGCCAACAGTAATAGCTAGTACATGCCCAGTACTTGCCAACAGTAACAACCAGTACATGCCCATTACTTGCCAACAATGTAACTAGGGCCAGTATATGCCCAGTACTTGCCAACTGGGCAACAGCTAGTACATGGCCAGTACTTGCCAAAAGTAAGTAACAGCCAGTACTTGCCAAGAGTGTACAACAAAGCCAGTACTTGCCAACTGTAACAGCCAGTACATGGTCAGTACTTGTCAATGTGTAAAAGCCAGTAAACAACCAGTACTTACCAACAGAGTAACATCGAGTACTTGCCATAATGTTCAGATGCTATCGACCACCCCTAAACCCCAGTTGCAGTGTTAGTGAAGCCGACATTACATTTCACTATTGAACAAACTTTACCTCAACGAATAAGGTGCTGCTGTACCATTCATGCTGACGACCACTGATGCGGCTAACTGGCCTTTAGCTGACAGTAACTACCAACTGTAACCGTCATCTGTAAGAAAAGGCTCATAGCAACAAATACTATTTAATATACTTAAATCAAATCTATCGTGCCATTAAGTCCAAAATGTAAGGAAGATCGTTATTAAGTACGATAAACATAACTAAGTTATACGAGTAACAAATACTTAATACTTCAGTTGAATCAATCTTGTAAGTACAAGACCATAACTTAAAAGTATGATGAACGTTACTTAAATATTAACAAAGTCTTAAGTACGGTGCCCAAAACTGAACCATACTTCATCAATTTAAATAAAAGCATAAGCCAAAATAGTAAAGTATTCTTTATAGTAACTAGTCTAAACGATTACGAGCGTTAACGACCATTAATCTAGTTTGTTCACTAGTGCTTGGTCATAATAGTAATAAATTAACTTAGCCTTGTGTATCTTCAGTATTTTTAAAGTCCATTTAAATTATTTCATTTTAAAATAAATCACTTTTAGTACAAAATCTACAAATAGCCTTAATGTATCTACCTTTACATAAGTATAATCAAACGTTTAAATAAATTAAAAGTAAAACTTACTATACATTTAAAGAACAGCGTCTGTCAGGTGAGAGAGACAACCGGCAGCACTTCACCTCTCTGCGTCACCATGGCCACTGGGCTCCTTGACCAGACCCCCTGACTCAGGCCAACCACCTCGGCATGATAGTCCGTCCTCCTCACGCCAGTAACCGTATCCGAATAAGGGAAGCTTAAATCATTAAAAAAAAACCCAGTTCAAACTTAATCGTAAATATAAAATTTAATACAGTTTTAGAGTAAAATAATATATCGTGATGCATAAAAATAACAACAATAAAAACTTCACGGAAAAATAAATAGAAATAAGAATACTGTACAAGGACTTCAAATGCTTCAGCTTCGGAAAGAGTCATGTGTTGACGAATCAGAACATCTACCGACTTACTCAATTATATCATAAAATATACTTTAATATTACTAACACATTTGCATTTATCTAAGAATAATATAATACTTTTCAAATTAATTAAACCTTTTATTAAGAAAACCTTACGTTGAAAAATATAGAAGTGCTTCCCCGACTACAATAATGGTAATTTCCGTACCTTACTGGGTGGTTACCGCTGATTAGTAATAGATAGGCAGTTGCAGGCGCTCTAATCTCTCAGGGGAGCGGAGGTGCACATTTTCAATCAACTGACAGTCCCTAGCATATCTCGGGGGCCAGACGGGGTGACAGTACTCCAGGTGGGGTGACAGTACTCCAGGTGGGGTGACAGTACTCAAGGCGGGGAAGTACCTCACCTTTCAGGCACTGTTTCATACCAAACTAAGCCTGGGCGTCAAAGGTTAAATCCCCAATTGCCTTAATCTGTTTACTAAGTTGCCAACAGTACGTAACAGAGAGCCGGTACATGCCAGTAGTACACAATAGAGCCAGTACATGCCTACAGTGCCAACGGTACGTAACAGAGAGCCAATACATGCCAACAGTATGTAACAGAGCCACTTCATTCCAACAGTGCGTAACAGAAACCCAGTACATGTCAACAGTACCTAACAGAGAGGTCACAGGCCGGTCAGTGGCGAAGAGGATAAAGAACAATAATTCCTATACATTACAATAATAAAAAAAAAAATTGCAGTTTCCCCATCACTGAATCATATTAAAAGCGGGATTAAATGACTGTGAATGAGATTAAAGGCGTATTAAATAATGAGTAATAATAACAAAAACGTCATAGAAGAAATGAGTATTGTTGATAATAATAATAATAATAATAATAATAATAATAATATGTCGTAAACTGAGGATAGAGTTAAAGAAATTAGGTTAGGTTTTGGCCAGTGTACCAGGGAGTGCCAGAGTGTACCAGGGAGTGCCAGAGTATCCCAGGGAGTGTCAGAGTGTATCAGGGAGTGCCAGAGTATCCCAGGGAGTGTCAGAGTGTACCAGGGTGCCAGTATCCCAGGGGTGCAGGTGTACCAGGGAAGTATCCCAGGGAGTGCCAGAGTGTACCAGGGAGTGCCAGAGTATCCCAGGGAGTGTCAGAGTGTACCAGGGAGTGCCAGAGTACCAGGGAGTGCCAGAGTATCCAGAGTGGGAGTGCCAGAGTATCCCAGGGAGTGTCAGGAGTGTACCAGGGAGTGTACCAGGGAGTGCCAGAGTATCCCAGGGAGTGTCAGAGTGTACCAGGGAGTGCCAGAGTATCCCAGGGAGTGTCAGAGTGTACCAGGGAGTGCCAGAGTATCCCAGGGAGTGTCAGAGTGACTCAGGGAGTGCCAGGGTGTACCAGGGAGTGCCCCAGGGAGTGTCAGAGTGACTCAGGGAGTGCCAGTGTCCCAGAGTGCCAGAGAGTACCAGAGTGTCCCAAGGAGTGCCCGAGTGCCCCAGGGAGTGTCAGAGTGACTCAGGGAGTGCCAGAGGGTACCAGAGTGTCCCAAGGAGTGCCAGAGTGCCCCAGGGAGTGTCAGAGTGACTCAGGGAGTGCCAGAGAGTACCAGAGTGTCCCAAGGAGTGCCCGAGTGCCCCAGGGAGTGTCAGAGTGACTCAGGGAGTGCCAGAGGGTACCAGAGTGTCCCAAGGAGTGCCAGAGTGCCCCAGGGAGTGTCAGAGTGACTCAGGGAGTGCCAGTGTCCCAGCTCACCGAAAATTACATACAAAGTGAAAACAAAATAAATGCAATAAAGTACACTTACTTTGAGGTGTGTATGTAGAAGGCTCCTCCTGGTTGATGATGATGTTGATGGGAATTCGAAGTGGGGGTGGAGAAGGGAGAAGAGAAGGAAGTGGGGGTGGAAGAGAAATCATCCCCATGCTTGATGCCGTCATTTCACCCATAAAATTTTAAGTTCACTAGGTGTAATTCAAGATTATTTTCTTTAAATCTACACTGCACTGCACTATATATTGTCAATATGTTTAATAAATTTCAGAATGACCAATAATTGTACTGTAAAAACTTAAAAATACTCTGTGTTCAAGAGACCCACAAGCGAGATGTTTCCTCCACTGAACAGAGAAACAAACTGAGGCCTTGGTGAGTGAGTGAAGTGGCTGATGGGCACACCAAAAACTAGTTCCCTGTACTGCAATTATATTAAATAAGTGTTAAAATTTCTAAAAAATTTAAAATAAAACGAGGAAAATTATGGAATAGTGCAACATTCTTGATATTTACTCCAATTTTAATGAATGTAAGCCCTAGAACCGATTTCTGTATTGATGGACTAATTTTCCACCTGGTGAGCAAGCCAAAGCATGTTGAAACATTTTCGTAAGAATTTCGTTAACTGAAATGAAGATTCTTATATATACAGTATATATACACACAATCTCTGGGTGTTTCAAGAGTACCCAAGACTATATAGCTTTCTATGATACAATTTTCTATGATGCGAGTAGTTAACCATTCTCTATGATGTGAGTAGTTAACCATTCTCTATGATGTGAGTAGTTAACCATTCTCTATGATGTGAGTAGTTAACCATTCTCTATGCCCCCATTCAGTTTTACCTTGAAATATTCAGTAGGGAATAAAAACTCACATGGCAGAAATGTTGACTATATTGATGTAAGAGTTAGGAAACTACAAAATCTATATACACTAGTTGCCATACTATCTTACAACAGTTAATTACATATGAAATGCACCTCTTGTAATTAATATATATATATATATATATATATATATATATATATATATATATATATATATATATAATGATTTGAGATCTACCTTCATGGATATTATGAATCATGGTAGACACTACTCTTGGGAAGGCAGGAGATGTGTGTGTGTGTGTGTGTGTGTGTGTGTGTGTGTGTGTGTGAAGGTTGGTCCTCTTTTTGTAGTTTCTGTTATGACCAAGGTTGTCACAGACACCAGGCCAAGATAAAAGTACCCTATGAAAAGTTTAAAACAAAAAAATACAACATATCAAAATTATCAATATAAATACTAACTGAATAGATAAACAACAAATATCTGGAAATGTGTACAGTATAGTAGTCTTGTTTCCTTGGTGTTAAGCAGTGCAGCATTATCTTAACTATACAAACTCAAACACATACAAAAAATAATAAAAAAATAAAAATAAAAAATCACTGACACGGCTGAAATTTGCTTAAACAATAAATGTGCAGTCCAGATGAAATTCAAAATACAGATTGTACCAAAATTATTCTGTAATCTCAAGTCTTCAATTTTATTACAGTATTACTTATGCTATGGAAATGAAAATGTAATTTCATCAAACACACAAGATATAATATAATATTTATCTATAAAATCTGGAAATCTAAGTAAAAAGAATAAAACCTAATTTCAGACATGAACCACATGGAACGTCACTCATTAGGATGTAGAAAATTTGCCTCATATATTGCTAGGTTGTCGCCCCTTTGAGGGATATTATTACACTATGATCGCATGTTTGTAAAGTTCATACATATTCATAAATTTATTGAAGTTACAAAATGCAAGCTACCTTGAAACAATGACCAAACGGCCTTCACGGCGCATTATATTTTCCTGAACTTGAAGAGGTTGAACACATCTTGGACCTAAAGCTTCATTTAGTCTTCAGCTTAACAGTTTTGGAATAATACTTAAAAGCTGGTCCAGTACAGTACTATATATACAACACTCAGTACATTAGCCACTCCAGCATATGAGGTATTCCTACTGACATACAAGTTACATACCTTACAACTTTCACAATGTAAATTTTTTCCTCTTTGCAAATACTTTTGTTCAAATATTTAAGAATCAAAATGTTTATAATTAAAGTTTTAAGAAGTTGCACCTTGCATATCTATCATTGGGGAAGACTGCAGCAATTAGCAGCTTCCTCAACACAGAGCAGTGATCTGGTCACTTGAGGGAACACAGTCCTACATCCCTTGTAGTAGTCTACATTCATTATCAGAGGATTCAAATGATCAAATAAGGTAGTTAAATGCTGATTAACACTTAAGTCAATTATTGCATAAATGCATCCATGTATAAGACACAGATCTGCGCCTTCCTAAACCCTACATAGGTGCCCTAACTCCATAGTGACTAGCAATTGCTCTAGCTGTTGAGATACATCATCATTTAACATTATTCAGTCTCTTAATCTCTCATAGACACTACCATGATCTATTGAACATAATCATAAAAGCCACCGTTATCTATCTTCGTTGCTTTCGGCAAATCTTCCACGTCATGTGAGCCCAGGGAAGCATAAGCATATTAGTATGAGAAGACAGTGGAAGACAACAGCTTTAACAGGTTATAATAAATGGAAAAAAATAAAAATAAAATAATATTATATATATATATATATATATATATATATATATATATATATATATATATATATATATATATATATATATATATATATATATATATATATATATATATATATATACTGTTTATATATACTGTATTTGGAATAATGTTAATGCATGTTATTGGGAAATATTGTCATGGTCGCAAAGTAGTCGGAATGTGCTTATCCATGGACATTTGAATACAATAAAAATAAATTAAAGAAATAAATACCCCACAGCTACTTAAAATAACACAAAACTTGATAAAGGTGATCATGCACAGTGCAAACAAAAAAACAAAAACAATCTGTGCTCCCTTTAAATAAACCCCACAAAGCACCATATCTGGCAGAGCACAATGGCATCACACATTCAAGTCTTCTGAATAACAAGCTGATAAGCCGGCTAGTATTCTTTATCGAAAACTTCATCTCCACTATCAATTGGAGAGAAGTTTTCAGCACAGGAGTCACTGAGGGAAAGCCGACCCCCACAACGCTCCGAGCCTTCGCTAGACCCACTGTCACACAGAGACTTGCCATTGAAGGAATCTAATGGGTCGGCTGCTTTTTTTAGTCTGGTTAATCTAGGACTTTTAATGCCACTCCTGTTAGTCTGCTGTTGAAGATTTGGCTGCTGTTGTCGCAGTTGAATAGTTGAACGTATACGAGAAGGCTTGACTGCTCGACTTGAGAAGCCTTTGGGTGGCAATGCCTTTTCACACTGGGATTTCACTTTTTTTGTGGATTCGTAGCAAGAGTCTTTAGGGGAAGAATCTTCTTTCTGTGATTTAGGAGATTCGGCTGTTGATTTTTTGGAAGACATGAGAGGTGTTTGGATACGTGGGATACGTGTTGGGGAGCCCGTCTTTGAGTTACTGCCCTGTGGTCTCTCAACAGAGCCATGTGATGCACCGGGGAACTTACTACTAATACCTTTATTGTCCTTTACACTAAGCTGAGGAGAAGGTGTCCTACTGGATGGCGAGTTCCCTCGTCTAACGCTACACTTGGAGGCTCCGCCGATGTTTCCGTCACTCACTCTACTCTTAAAATGGGTCCATGCCCGAGGTTTGTTTGTACTGATGGGGAAACTGGACTTTAGGTGATTGGCTCTGGTACTGCTTATACTGGAAGCACTTCTAGCTGGGATGGTAGGCATAGTGGCAGGTTGTTTGATTCCTGAGATATGATTCACCTTGTTGAGCTGCCATATAGCACTCTTGACACTACCAATACTGCGAGTATCCACACCCTCCTGTTCATCGGTCCGACTTTGACCACTACGATTATATCCACTAATGTCACTTTTCACAGTTCTGTTTTTCTCTTCAATATTACTTATGTGTTTTTTCAATAAATTACTTTCTACTTTAGGCAAAACAGCACCAGTAATCCTAGTTGAGTGAGGGAGTGCCGAGATACATGAGGGTGGTGGCACAGAGGTACTGACAGTAGTCACCATGTTCGTCGCTCCACTAGAAGACACACACAGGTCCTGGGAGCCCAGATCAGAGTGGGAGGTGGAAAAATCACAAAGAAATTCAAATTCTTGCAGGGCTGCCCTCTCTTGCTCTCCAAATCTTACAAACAAGTCTTTTCGGCCAATGACAGTGGGACGAGGGGCTCCACCTCCGATAATTATTCGGCCGTTACCACTACGATGTGATGCTGAGGGAAAACAATAAATGATCAGTGACTTACTCTTAGGTATCAAAACACTCTTACATTATTTATTTACACAAGGTGGGAATCATCCGGCTAAAATAAAATATACCATTACAAATTCTCAAATTATTATTATTACTATTATTACCTTTAAGGTTACACAGAAAAACTCAGAGTATAAAAATGTTATAACATGATTTCTTTAGTTAATTAAACACTAAATCCACAGTAAACTTGTGTAAGAAACTGCATGGATAATACAAATATAAATGTATGAAAAGGATTTGTTAGTATGGATAATGCAAAAATGGTGTTATGTAAGACAAAATAGGCCAGAGGGAAGATTCAAATTGTTTCTGATCACATTCATGCACTTACAGTAAAAAACACTAATATAACCACTTTTAGCTGCAGGCAGTACAAGTTGTGCAACATAAGAAGAATTACCGGAAACATGATTTCTCGAGGGTCAAGCTTTATGAAGTGACAATACAAACATGTAATACTTTAAAGAATAGTGTACTGTACAATGTTCAGAGGAACTGTGCTTGATCTACATGTTTTCATATTGTGAATGTCCAAGATGTACAGCAATTAAAATATTCACGTAAGAGCAAGGTAAAATTGCATGTTATGGGAGCATGAACACAAACCATCACTACTGGCACATCATAACTCGCATCAAAACTACTGTAAAATCCTCAGTAACGGAGAGAAGCATAAATACTGTACATGCATGCCAAGTGGATAAAGGTGCACTCATATGATTACTGTTGTATATTTTTTATCTGTGTCTTTGCCCTCTGGTGCTGGGGAATATTACAATATGGCTCACTGTGAGGTGCCCTAGGGATCACAACAACTTACTGACACACTCCAGGATGTAGATTCCACTAAACTCCTCGGCATAACAATAGACAACAAACTAAATTGGAAAACACACGTCAGTACAGTTGTCAAATCCTCCAGTTTCCGTATCCACCTCCTCCGCCGACTCAAGTCCCTCGGAGTTCCTGCGCCCGAGCTCCTCAGTGTTTACTCAACAGTTATGCTTCCCAAGCTCACCTAAGCCTCCCCTACCTGGTCTTCCTCCCTAAATGCCATACAACGTAAACACCTAGAAAAAGTGCAAGAGGGCATGCAAGATTATTCTCTCCCCTTCCTACACCACATAACAAGAAGCGCTCAACACACTGACCCTCTCAGGTCTCTCTGACCATCACCACGACCTCATCTGCAAATTCGGTGAGAAGCTTCTGCACCATCCTCGACACCGGCTCCTACTACCACCCGAGATCCCTCGTCCGAGAATTGCTGTTCGACACCACAACCGCATCCAGCCCATACGAGCACGTACTGATCGCTATAAGAACAGCCCAGTCCCAACCATAGTAAAAATTATCAATAACTTGTAATCAACCAGTTTATTCACTCCCAGTCAATCTTATCTTTTTGCACTGTCACTATGTCGAAATGCCCTGTAGCATAACCTTCTCCCCACCTAGTCATTATATATCATATTTGTATCACTTATGTTACTTTTATTTCATTTGTAAATCAAGAGACCCATTCCCCAATTATGCAACTGTACATTTTCAGCCTTCCAGCTGCCATGCTCTTTCAATAAACCGTTAATTATTATTATTATTATTATTATAATTGTTGTCACAAGAAAGCCAAGTAAAGGAGAAGTACAATAGGATGCCTGGAGAGGATATACTGTGAGGAGGTACAAGAATTTGAACAAGTCATCTCTAATATTAAAACACTTCAGTACTGTACAGCCAAAGTGAGAGAGAAGTTCTGAGTATCTGAGGAAAGTTGAGTTTTATGTATCACACATTTTTTCTCTGGCTGAGTGCAAAAAGGGCCAATGTAAAAAAAAAAAAAGCCAATTTTGACTTTGGCCCATGAAACCTGGATTACATGGTCCAGTCTAAATTGACATTTTTTGGCATTGGCCCTTTTTGCACTCAGCCAGAGTATTATAGGTCGAGACAATACTGGAAGACTAGGAGTGTGTAAATAGATAATTAATGGCTTGGAAAACAGCATGCAGTGAAGTTAACAGATTTGCTTTGTGAAATATGTTAAAATTACACACAAAGATGATTAGCTATTAGAGGCTGTGGAGGTTCTGAACAATGTAAATTATTCAAGTTTTGAAATGAACAGCAGATGTTTGCTTGTGACTAAGACAGTGCTGACTGAGCTGAACAGTGTACTGGCTTAGACACAAAGGAGACACTCTGCTGTAAACTATACCTTTACACAAGACCTGCAGTTAGTGGCTACACGGAGATCACTACATCATATTAAAGTGTTAAAGCTCTTATTTGAAGTAATAACATACAGGAATACGTAATGTAAAATAAAAATTAGTGACTATTGTGATATGGGAATATAAGAATGAAATTAAATAGTATATTACAGTTAAAATGTGTAAAGTAACAGTGTATAAAGCATTTCAAGGTGGATGACAATGACAAGGGTGTACTGTGAGAGCAACATCATCAGGATCTTTTATAAAAATTAGTTAAAAAGCTCTACCAAACATCAATAACCAAACTGCTTAAGTTAACTACACTAATGCAATGATAAAGAATGAACTGAAACATTCTCTCTTCCAAAAAATTCTGGAACATCATCAGTACAACACCAAAAAGCTTTGATGTTTCATAAAAATACTAAACAAATATCCATATATACTGACTTCTATCCACCAAGCACTGAACACACATAAATACTGACAACCATAGCAGTAGCAGCCTTTGATGGTGCTCTTGTCTAACCCTGATGGTGCCCCCCCCTAGCAAATGATCATTTATGAATTTAATTGTAATTGATATAAATTTTCCAAAGGAACATAGAAGTGACTGGATAACAAAGCAGCCTTCAGGATAGCATCTGTTAGTGATACAGGTATGTACTGTATTTTTATTGGATTCACTGCAAAAATAATCTCATTAATAAATAAAATAAAAAAATTTCAAATGCAATTTTGGTGCCACCTTCTCTTTGATGTCTGGGGCCTTCTGACACCCCCTAGCTACACCCTCCTGCTGACAACACTTGTGGTGGACAACAGTGTAGGTCAATACACCAAACAAAACTAAGCATTGTCCCTTAAGTCACTGGGCACTACTGACCAACCTCACATGAAGCATCACTTGAGGCAGTTTGTTTCTATTGTACAGTAATTCCAGAGTTTAAAGTTTGGGCAACACAGTTCATGAATTAAACCTAATTCATCAGTAGCCATTATTTCACATGCTAGAATGAAAATAACACTTGTAATGTTCTGAGTCTCATTGAAGCTGCATTTCTCAAGCTGGGGGAAACATCATGCAGGGTTTACTAGTTGGTCAGCAAGTGTTATCCTAACTATCAAGACATTTACAGTGAGACCTCTATTAAAGGGACTATATCGCAAGGAAAATTCGTAATATCGAGGGTGAGTTATATTAGACCCCTCCCTCTAAATAACAATATAGAGGTGAAAAGTCAGTTATATCGCGGGTCCATTAGATGTGGAACCCCCATCTCATGGATTAGATGAAGAGAGAAGTCTACTATATGGAGATTTCACTGCACACTGTTGCAAGGGACTGGGGTGGAGTCAACACACAGAGGGACACTTACTGTACTGGCATCCTTTACCAGATAGTGAAACAGTAAGTAACTCAAGGTTTTATGAGGGAGGTAACTTGAGACTCAGGTGCCTTGATTTTGTAGTTTAATGTTGGAAAATTAACTAGTAACTATATTTTACACTGAATTCATGGACAAGTTATTTTTTTCACTGTATAATAAAAGGTAAGAGCTACAATTAGTTTACATTCAGTATAAGTTTTGCTCTCAGTTTAGTAGTTTTCTCTTGACATATTTAATTCAATTGACAGCTATCTATTTTTAAAGTATATTTAGTTATACCACTGATGTGCCCACAGTTAAATATAATTAATAAAGATACTGAATTCTTTTTTAATATTAACAAACTTTTCCTGTGATGGTAGATATAGTGTAAACATAAATTCTTTACTTTTAAGCCAAATACATTAAAGAGATAAGACCAACATGAGACTATACAGTAACAAGAGACTCTGCTGTGTAACCTTGTGGCTTCCTCACTATATACTAAATTCTATGACTATTTTTCCCCTTAAAATAAAAAACCATAAACTAATATAGTACAGTGCACATCTTCTAAAGCTGCGTCATATTGCCTCGGACTGTTTCAAGTGCCAAGCAATTTCAAGACAAACATTCCCTGTATTATTATTATTCTTAATGTAGCTAAACAATGATGTTAAAGCCAGTGGGACATTCACCATAACACATGCAGAGGTTAGCCTTGTATTACACCAAAAGTTCATACCATTGTGCCTGGCCGAGCCCTGCGACAAAACACACAGTAAAGTTGATTAGTTGTTGTGTACAGCTACGAGGGAACTAACACTCCACTGAGGGTCATGTCAGGGGTCAAAGTTGACACGATATTAGCTTATGAGCCTGTATCTGTATAAAGACACCTGTATATGTATAAACACACCTGTATGTGTATAAACACATTTGTATATGTGTATTAATCAAACCTGTATATGTACAGAATGTGTATAAACACACCTGTATATGTGTAAAAACAAACCTGTATATGTATGTGTATAGACACCTGTATATGTGTGTGTATAAAGATACCTGTATATGTATGTGTATAAAGATACCTGTATATGTATGTGTATAAAAATATTTGTGTGTACCATATATAGACCAATATGTGTCCAGATGTTTCGGGTATATTTACGCACACACACACGCACGCATGCACACACACGCACAAATATTGTGTAATCTTTGATCCCCTGACGTGAGCCTTAAATTTAATATACAGTAAATTTTGTATTATTAGTCATATTAATATGTCACAGATCTATCCTTATAACACACCAGTCAAGTACAATGCCTATACATTGCTTGAACACAAATTCCCAAGGTATAAAATAACCCACAATCACTTAAGAGGCAAATATGATATCAAAAAGCCTACAATTACTTTAAGACAAATTCCTATGTATAAATAAAAGCCCACAAAACACCCAAGTAATTTCTCAATGTTAATGTACAACACCAACTAACAACAACAACAACAGCTGCTACTGTACAAATATATTTAATAATTTTAACTCATTAACATTAAGGTGATCCAGAAAATAATCAAGAAGTTATCATTAATAATGAAGCAATTTATTATCTTTAACATTCATCCATTTCTTCCTTTGTACTCTTATTAACACACTTAGCTTGTAGGGCCCTGTCAAGTACATCACCAGAGCAAGACAGTATATACAGGGTGTCCATAAATTATATTACTCTCTTTCATAACTTAATAGACCCATTTCATAACGTACTATTCTCAAAAAATATTATAGAAAGAACACGTTGTATATGTGCAAGTGTGCCGAGACAAGAATGTAACCAAGGAGTTGTCTTTCAAGTATAAAGGGGCTGGTGTGTTCTATCTATAATCCTCTTGAGGTTATCCCTATAATCAAAGACCATTGTCAATCTTCCCTATTTCAGCTCAAAGAATAGTAACCTTTAAATAAACAAGAGATAAAGAAGGTTTTTAAGATAAGTTTACCCTTGCGTTTTCGTCTGCTGCGATGCATAGACCTGAGCTGTGAGTAGTGATGGCCCGCCACCTCGTCCTCCTCCGTCTCTGAGCTGCAGCCTTCACTCGACTCCATCATTCCGTCCAAGAGGTTAGCTCGAGCCTGAAGACACGAGTAACATTATCATCTACAAATCCAGTTGAGAGAAAAACAAAATCAAAATATTCTTTAACACCCTGAAGCCCCTAAGTTCTATACCTAATTCTTCTTACAATGAATAAAAACAATGCAACATAATTCGTATTTTATTAGTATGTATCATCATCCTGTATTTTTACACACAAAATATATTCAGTTGTAAAGTACATTATACATTTTAGCTGTCCCATACATGTTATAGTCCAAGCATTTGTAATCTGATTTAGGATAGTTAATGTCAATACCTTAACAAAAGCACATTAATATAATATTCCTTACTGAGCACCTTTAACTACAGCTAAAGGAGTTAACTGTCAAGTCAAATAAGAATTACGACCATTCCAGTCCAGGCTGTCATCCATCTCACACTACATTTCATCTATATTTAACTTTACATTCACCAGCAACACAAGACTTGTGTCCTGCCTCCACAACCCGAGTGTTCACATACCTGAGGGTCCTGGAGATCTATATGAGGCTGTACCCTGACCCAGCCAGTACCCAGCCCAACAGTGTCTCCTGGACTGGTGGCTTCTTGCCCGCTGTTGCCTTCGGGTCTCAACCTTCTCTTCTTGTCCTCCTCTTCCTCTACCTTTGCCATCCTCTGTAACTCCTCCAACATCCCTGAAGGATTTTCACTCAGGCTGGGCAATTCACAGTAATCACTCTGTGGTCTCCTGGGACTAGACAGCCCCAATGTCTCTTTGATGAAACTGCGCCGTTTACCTTCCAAGCTGCCCCCGAGAGGTTTGTTACAACCATTAGAATTATGTTTAATTAATAAGGAGCTCGGCTGTGATGCAGGAGGCTTGGGCAGTGCTCTGCTCGTTATGCGCTTTGGTACTGGAGGAGAATCGGTTAAAGACACCTTATGCTCGGGAACTGGTAATACATTACTAGTGAAGGCCATGCTAGATGAACGGCGGGGCACCGGGGGACCACCTACTGCCGGGGGAGTGGCTACACTGCTACACTGGTCAGGTACTGGAAGGTGTTGACACGGTCCATCTGACACTGTACTAGAAGTTTGTTGCTCGGTGACAGAGTTTGTACCAGGAAGGTGCGAGGCACTCCTGATGGGCACCTTGAGGACATGTGAGAGTGGCACCTCCACTTCACAAGCAGGTATAACCTGATGAGGGGCCAAACTAGATGACCGGGAAGGCACAAAGGGCACTGACGGGGTAGTGGTCGGCAAGACTGGGAGGGTCGTAGGTGGCACAACTGGGAGGGAAGGAAGCGTAGTAGTAGTAGCAGGACATCTGGCAGGAATGCAATTACTGCTGCTAGGAGCACCTCTTGAGGGGTCTTGATGAAGGGAACATTTTGGTTTTGCTGGGACAGGAGGGGGAACTTTGGTCTTGAATGAATCTCTCTTGCTAGGTTTCCACTGTAACGACGGTAATGTTCTCATAGAAAAGTCATCAGCACTATTACACGCATCACTAGAACCTTCTCTCGGAGATATTTTAGGAAACGTCCCGCGAAACACAACTGACGCTAAGGGAGAGCCCGAACTGTCTAATGTATTTGCAAGTCTTAATACATCTCTAGACTGACTTGTAACTTTTTCATCTTGTGCTTCTCTTTCTTCACAGTACTTTTGTTGTTCTGCAATAAAGCCCAGGACAGAAGCTAAAGCCTCTTTGTGTGTTCCTCCTGATTCCAAGTCTTGCAACTTTTCAATAGTTAATAATCCATCAGATGTAGCTAAGCTCTTGGATGATGCTGCTAGACTCTTATTACTTTCAAACTTAACAAGGCGGTAGAAATCTCTAGTAAAAACAGTATCAACGCACACGTCGTCTGCCAGCTCGTCCTCGTGCTCTCCCACGCTGGATGTTTCCTGGCTGGCAGCCTTTGACGCTTCCTGACCGCCCGCTTCACTGCTACAAAATGAAACTCTCTTCAGTTCTGGCAGGTTACAGATTTGTTCACAAAAGTTTTCAAAGTCAGAACTGCACTTTGACACACCTTCAGAACAACACGAAAGCTGCTCACTACTGGACCACACAGCCGGCTGATCAGAACACCCTGATCTGGGAGATAACACTATATGATTTTCCTTAGAATGATCTAGTTGCCAACTTTTTGTCAGCTCTTTTTTGCTCGACCAATTTAAATCTAAATCTGCTTTAAAGTAGGTAGCACCATTCCAGAGGAACTCATTATTGTCTTCCTCTAACTCCGGGGTCGCCTCCTGGATGGACGGCAGAGAGCCATGATGGGCACCGCTGGTTCCCACACTCTCACTTCCTTCCCCCTCCCCACACACCCCACTAAGATACTCTGAAGATAAGTCTAATGACCAGTCCTCCAGTTCTGCGTGACTGTACGTAGGAGAGAGATATTTTCTCTGGTTGTCTTCTAAAGGCCACAGTTCTTCACTACTGTGCGAGGTAGTGTGTTCTTCTTTTGCATACATTCGACTCCTCTTGAGGCTGGCTTGTCCCGACACCCGTTTTAAGCTCCTATTTTTATTTGCCTCTTCTAACACTTCTTCCGTCGACGGAGATCTCTCCGCCAGATCTTTTTCCGACACGTGTCTCTCTAAGCTAGTCCTCGGTTTAGGATTACGAGCACTTCTTCTCTCTAAATATAACTGAGAATCAGAATAACAACGAACCGGTTTATTTCTCTCTACACTCGAGGGTATGTGGTAACTATGTCTGTACAAACTCTCATTTTCTGGTTCTTGAATGGGTATAAAAAATACATCCGAGTTGTTGTCCTCCTCGTCGTATATAACACGGAGGCCGTCACAGTACTCGCTGTTTCCTGCAGAAGAAATTTTTCTCTCCTTAACTAAAGTTTTCTCTAGGGAATTATTATCACTCTTATTGGACCCTTTCCTGGAGAGGTTTTCTCTCACAGTGTTTGTAGAGCCTTGGTCTGAGAAGTCAACTGGTGTAGGTGCCAGAAGAGGTTCCTCCTGTACAGTAGTGACAGTACAGGTGGTGATGCTGTCCTTCACGTCCGCCTGTACGTCACTGGACATGGTGGAGTAGCCCTCGTCCTTGGTGGTCCCCTCTTCCCCCGGGCTGGTCTCGTTGCCTGTATTCTTTGTGCCGACTTTGGTGAGATTCTTGTTCAACACTCCTTTGTTTTTTTCCTCGCACGATAATACTGATAAATCAATGGTGAACTCATTCGTGGTTGACTCTGTCAAGGATTTCATCAACTTTTCCTTAACTTGAAGAATACTACAAATTTCATCTGTATTTACATTATTCACTACTAAATTTGCATTCTTTTCATTTGGAGAATTACTCAGCAACTCTTCCTCATGGACAACTGTTATCTTTGATTTATCAAAGGCAAGGTTATCAATTTTTGCTTGAAATACTTGGCAATTCTTCTGCTCAGGCGAATTACTGTCACAAGTGACTGTTGATTCCAGAGAGAGTGGAGAGAACTTGCTAGTGGCCGGAGGAGGGGTGACGCACCCTCTAGTTTCCTCCAGTCTCTCACACCCATTAGGAGGAGAACTGTCTCCAGTTTCTCTTGAGAATATTACTGTGTGTGAATGATAAGAAGACTGAACTGGGGAGTCAGAACTGCTGCTACTGCTGGTACTTGCACTCCCGGCCTCACACATCACCTGGTCAGACTGGCTCCACACACTTACACCATCACTTAGTCTGGGATTCAGCACTGTGTCTAGGTTACTGGCAACAGCTGTACCCTGAGGAGAATTGGCTGCACTGAGGGAGGTGATAATATCATACCAACAGGTGGTTGTGGTAGAGTTTGCCGTGGTAACTGTGGTTGTGGTAGAGGCCAGTCTCTCCTGAGGGGTGTAACAGTCTTCTCCTAGTCGAACACTACTTGAAGTGGTGGTGTTGTGGTCTGTGAGGTTGAGGGAGGTCGGGATGCTGGCATCAGACAACATCTGGAGGCTGGAGTGAAAATGACCCTGAGAGGAGTTGTGGTCGCCCAAGTGGCTCCTGCTGCTCTCCTCGACGTGCCACGAGGCGACCCAACCCTCCTGTGGCCACGCTTCACTCTGCTGCTGGTGAAAAAAGTTATTCTGTAAATTAACTAAATAACCAATGGTAATCATAACAATACAAAATTTGCCTAGGATGTGAAATTACAACCTGGTGGCATGGAAACAATTCAATAAATCTACAGAACAACATTCACATATATTTCTTTATTTATGATTTGATTCTTAATTTGGTAAAAATCTTGAACAGTATAAGTTATATACATTACTCAGCTTATATTTACATAACTTATAAAGGAACAATACTTTTAAGTCAACCATGTTTGATGGTGCAAGATGACTGAACTCATAAACAACACAAAGATTCTCCCTTCATCAACTGTTTACATAAAACTCCCAACTGTAATACCTGTCTGTTTCTTCTAAGTGTCGTTGGAAGGCTGAAAAAATTGGTGGGAGGAGCCGCTGGGGGACAACGGTGTCGGTGGGAACAAGGCAGAGTCTGACGCATCCCTGTAGGACCCACCAGGGAAGACAACGCAGCGTTCTGTCGCCGTAAGTCCTGCACCTGGTGGGCCAGCTTGATACACTGCTCCTGGTGGCTCTGTTAAAATCACACTGTGTCAGATATTCTTTTGTATTAATCTCCACAAAAACTTATTTAAAATTTGGATATAATTTTTTCAATAACATGAAGCATTGTTATATGCACCCACAGAGAGAGAAACACCTGACTCCCAACGTACATCTGAATGACAGACTGTGTTGTCCACTACAGTACTGTATCTAAATGTTAATTAAGGGCAAAAAACATTACAGTATCCCTGTTCTACCTTCATTATCATTCTACCTAGGTGCTGCTTGTCATAAAATGCAAAAAAAATTGTCAAAAGTGCCCAAATATTCCCCAGGATCACAGGTGAAGCCCAATACTAGCCACTGCAGCACCCAACACCACTGCACCATTAACTGTTTCTGCAAATTTTTCCTTAGCTCCATCAATCATCCTCAACAGTAACAGAAATATTGATGTTTTACTTTCTGGGAGAGAAGTGCCTGAACAACTTGAGTGGCGACGCGGTCCAGGCAAACTTCGTACTGACGTTGCTGAGCACGAGCTTCGTTCTGTAGTCGTTTGTTGGCTTGTTCCAGAGTTTGACAGCGGTCAGCTAACATCTGCACAACAGAGTCATTACTAATAAAGGCCTCCTGCTGGGGGTGGCACTCTTCATCCTGTGCAAAAACAACATGGATTGAGATATTTCACTCACTATATCTTTAAACTTTACCTTTACAGCCAAACAGTAAAGATAAACAGTATTTTAGTCTATCTTCCACATCATATCTGTAGCTTACTGTACAATAAAATAAAGTAGCGAATAATAAAATAATAATAAAACATTTCCCCAGAAAAACAGATGTCAATGTCACTACTGTGTGGGCTGAACAGACTGACATGTGTACACTGTATAACCTCAAAAATAATAGAGAGAAATACAGTCTCCATAAATTATCTGACTCATTTTATAACTTAACCTCACAAATATTATAAAGAGAACACTTGTGGAAGTTTACTAAGGCAATAAAAACTGATGTGTTCTATCTGTAATGTTTTTGAAGTTATGTTTTATAATGGATTGGATAATTTATGGACACCCTGTATGTTTCCAGTGCCGTACATGCAGGCTCTGGGTTTGTTGTGACACATGCACTCAACACCCCAAACCTGCCAGTGACTCAACAGAGCTACAGTCAACAATGCAGCAGTTGACCAAAGGATCAATTTAACAAGTGAAGAGACAAAAGATATATATCCACTCATAAGGGTACATAATCATTTCTACCAAGCCCTGTTTTACCTCCTTCAAGTTAGGAAATGATTATTATTCTGCTGGTAAAATGACAACTTTTAAGAATATAATAGAAAAACTGCCATAAGAAATCCTACATCTAACAACACTGATCGTTATTACACACTAAATATTTACATTTAAGCTTCTGATCAACAAGCTCTTCAGGGTACAGCAGAACTATCATCTGAAGAAATGCTTTAACATAACAAAATAATAGTTATGTTCGGCAAAATACTGACAGAGACTTCACATAACCAATGAAGCACAAAAGCTATGATTAAAGAACAAAGTCAAGTTAAAAAGACTTCATCTTCACAGTAACATGACTGCTTGTACAATAGTTTGTGACTTTCCTAACAAACACAAATAAAAACTATACACCCAGAGACAAGAAATTGTATCAATAACAAGAAAATGTCATAACTTGTGAGGTGCCAATACATGTAATGTACAGTACATACTGAAATTTTTAACAAAATCCAATTTTGGGCCAAAACCGCTGAAAATGCAAGCCTTTTGCCTTAGTGATTTTTTGACGAAAATATACTTTTCTCACAGAATTGGATTTAAGGGGTTAAACTAATTAAGTACTGGATTTCCAGAACAACGCAAAACACCAAAATCGCACCTTGGAAACCCATAGTTGGTGAATAATTGGCATTGAAAGTCATTAATATCTTTCAAGCATCATTACGACCACTAATTACCCCACAATCGAATCGTGGACCATAGATTCGGAATCAGCATGCTCAGGAGCTGGATATCATGGCTCAGTCATATAAACTTTCTTACTGAGTGAGTTAATGAATAAATGACTCAGGTTTTGTACTGATAAAGCTGGTTGATTTAGGTAGAGGGGAGACCACATGCTGTCTCTTTTGGTTTATCCTGAAATAAAACCCCAAGGGTCACCAACAACCAGAACGTGAGATGAACCCAAACGAGATAAACGTCATGCAAATAATGAATTAATATACTGTACTTGTTGTCCATATATTACCTGACCCATCTTAATTCTTTATAATTTCAAAAAATATTAGATAGAACTCGCTGGCTTTATTATGCTTGACAAACAATTTATTAGTCTTTTCCTCAGTTTGTTGAGTATAATATAACTACTGTATAGTGTTTTGTTTATACCTAATGTTATTAAGGATACTATGTTTTCAAATGGACCAGATAACCTTATGTACATAGTGTAGAATATATCAGAGGAAAAAGTCACATTGTATGCGAAAGGATTAAAAATTCTTTGTAAAAGACCATTAAAACCAACAGTGTACTATAAAGGGGTTCAATACCTGGTCAGCAGATATTTCAAGTGGCTTATAAACTATATTAACATCTTGATGGATGACAAGATAACCATTGTACAGTAGAGAGTTGTCAGAAAAGTTGTTAATGACGACTTACATGTGTTCATAACCTTACCTAAATAAGGTTAGCTTGTACAGGTGGAAATACAGTACACAGCTCAGACGAAAGTTGTTGTATTTCAGGACAACTGAGAACCTACAAATCACTGACCAAATCTCTTGTGATGCAGCCAAAGCATTGTCACAACCTCCTCATAGGCGGCAGCAAAACCCTCTGAAGGAACAACAACAACAGCACCTACCTCTTATGGTCAGGCTGAGGACTGTCCAGCTAAGTTACAGTAAGACTCAACCAAGGGTCAGATAGAGGGAAAGCGTGAGCCTACAATAACAAGCTTCAGGTGTGTACGGCTTCCCAGCCTCACCAATCACTGAATTATCTACTCATCCTCTTAAATTGTTCATGAAGTGAGTATAGTATATATATCACGTCCTCCCAGTAGTCAGTAAATCAGAAATGGACGGGTTAATGGCAAAGTGAACGATTAAAAGCAGCCCTGTGTTGTCATGGTAAAGCCTCGTGTGGAAGTGAAAACATAAGTGAACCTTAGAAGTTAAGTCACTGTAGAGGAACACAACACTGGTGGCTGGGGTGGTGAGCGGATGTTTGGGGCACGGTTAAACTAGGTCCTAACCACCCCGATCCAAACCAAACGTCCGTGGCCCAATCGTCCTACATACGGCTGGGGTAGAGGGTCATCTTAGCCAAAACAAGTGCAGTACTAACTGTCATTACTTTTATTATCTATCAATGATGTGTATCATAAGCTAAGGCCCACAAAGAGAGAGACATGACATGTGTCTTGGACCAGGTGTAAGGAAGACACTGTATAAACACGCCTCATCATCAGTTCCTAAAGACACAGCAGTGATAAAACTCCTACACAAAACATTTACTGAATTGTTAAACAAAACTGGATTAATGTATAATTTAATAAACATTATGACATGAAGTAAATATAGAATAACTAAAATCTATCACCGTTTACTCTGTGGTATTGAGTCTTTGTCGGCCAGATCGGTAACTCACGACTGAACCCCTGAACCTCTTATTGCAATAATGTCTGAGCCATTTATGAGTAACAAAACCATATATTTCTGACGCTTTAAAGACATCAATATTACTTATGACTGTTTGTATCATTACCCATCAACAAATACTTTACAATAACTCTCTCACAGGTCTGGAAGATACTTGGCTCTTCTATATTCCCTGAAAGTTAAAGACCCAGGCATCTCCGAACTCCTGGTGAATTATTGTATTGTTAATCTAAATACTATTAATAATAAAAGTCATAAGCAATATCAAACAGCATCTGTAAATTCCGGTTTTGTTTCTTATAAATATGACTCTGTTCCCTCGTCCCGGTGTTCAATGGTGGGGAGCAGATCTGACTGTGGGTGATAACGTAAACAGGAGATATAAAAAACTGTAACACAACTTATGACATAATTGATCATTTCTATACACTATAAAAATAAAGATGTCTGTTCAGTGATATTCATATGTCCCCCAAAATAGTGTTAAAAACTCTACAACACAAAAATAGTAATGAAGGGGTAATGGCCTCAGGGATTTCAACTAAGCAGACAAAAATGCAACATAAACATACATTTAGTTACTACAAAATATTCCTTATTGTTTCTATTCTTGTTGGTCCTTCACTACAAAAATGTGATAAAAAAAATATTAAAATACAAAAAATAAGAACAATTAACACCATCTGTCAAACTGTTCCAGAGTTTATGAAATAAAGTACCATTATCTCACATTATTAATTCTTAACCAAACTACAGTATGTAATGGGAATAACTGCCCAAACTTTGACCTACTATAAATAATAACATATTAGAAAACAACAACAATAACTTAATCTCTTTAAATACTTAAACTAAAATAAAAATAAAATTATTCAAACTCCAAAGTGTAAAGATCTGGTATGATAATTTACATAACCTTTGTAAAACATAAAATACAAGACTACTGTATTACACTGACTGTAAGCGCTGTACTGTACAAGTTAGCTGCTAAAACACACACAGATAATAACTATCACTTATAAAAAATGACGACACACACACACACACACACTCTTCTCTCTACTGTGTAAATATAAAATGGCTGCCACTAAGCATCTTCTCCTAATTAGTTTTTACTTGAAAATGTACAGGTGAAGCAAAGCAACCATTACAACACCTCACACTTTAGGCCAAGCATAAATAACTATCACAAAATATATTATGATACAGTTTATAGTACAAGTATCTAGGTGATTCTATTTAAAATATCATACAGGAATACTGTCCTTTATGCTAGTGACCTCTAACATTTGTTCTAACATCAAGTCAATCAGAGGTATAAGAAAAATGACCACAATGTAATCCAAACCATTGATGCAAGTACTTACACCAATGTTTTGATGTGCGGAGTTCTACCTATGGTGGCTGACAATGGCTGTGCCCACCCAGGGGAAAAAAAATGTGCAACCAGGACTCATCGCCTTCAACCAGCAATATTTTCATACTACTGTACTAAACATTAAAAACATATTTCTCAAGTTGATTCTTTTAACTGGATATTTACTACACAGTGACAACATAACTATTAACTTTTAGATATTTGTCAATACTCTTTCCCCATCCCCACCCAGAGTCACCAGGTGGCTGTCAACTATTATTCTCCACCACTAACTTTTATCAAGGCACCAACCAGAATGTCTCAGCCGTAACATTATCTGATAGTCAGGACTCATAAAGCTGAGTTTTTCTGTGATAGGTAGTGGTTATTTTCTTTTTCACACACACAATGGCCTCTCTTACTATCAAGCAGGGTGGTCAAATGGGTATTGCTCTACTGCTTCCTAACATCTGGCAGTGAGTTACTCCACACTCCACCCCTCTGACCAGATGTTAGTCAATCACAGCGTTGTTTTACCATCAGCCAATTCACCCAAAGAAGGAAATCCATCCTCCACTTCAGTCAAGAATCAAGTACATGACCATCTGTATGTGTGGTGAAACGTCTACCAAATGACCTACAGGGCCACTGAAGAGCCACATTAATGCTTCAGGGTTTTATTTACTGTACCCTGACCTGATGGGGGAATCTGATACACTTGAGATGTACAGTACTCTATAAAGGCAGCATATATTTAATATTAGTGATATCATGGCACTGCTACAGGACTCAAGATACCCCAAGATTCACTACAACAATACATACAGGGGTTCAAACTTGTCCAACACCATTGTCAAATCTGATTTGTGAATGAATTATTGCATCTGTCCAAATAATTACCAATGTTCCTCCTGGTAAGACAATCAAGCACTGTAGACAAGGAAGTAGAAATATGATTAAGGGATATGATTGTCCAATTTGAGGGAAGTTAGTCTTCCTTCTCTGTGCTGGAGGAACAGTAACAAGTGAATCAGTTCTGGTGACATAAAAAGATGGCTTGTTCAATCACCGCAAAATTAAAAAGAGAATTAACATTGAATTATTACAACCACAATATTATGCATGTCAGGTTCAGGGACACTCTCCTCAGAAACAATATTTAGTAAATGAAAAACAGACAGTGGCCAGAAAGAGTTTGACCGAACAAAGTGATAAGTCCAACAAAAATATTCAGCCTTGGTGGTGTGAAAAACACGTCTAGTGGAGCTTCCTCTACACCAAGGCTCTAATAAAATGGACTATAATTCTTTTGGTGATATTTACTAGTAACTAAACTGAGGGGGAAGATTCACAATCCCTTTAAAACACATGTGAGAGATGTGTCGCTATGTACACAATCACACAAAAACAATGCGAAAAAATGCTCCTCCAAAATTCCCCTCAGGGTAAAAATTCACTCAATTCAGCGTCCTCTCCCAAGAACACTTTGACTCCACACTAATCAACCTAGAGCAGACTACAACACTCACTACACAACAAGCTAAATAAAAACTTATGTCTTACTGTACCTGATGGTTTCAAATGTTCGAGATGATATGGTAAGGTGATATGCTACGTGATGGAAAAGGACATTAATAGTAATTTGGAATAATGATGTTAGTATTATCACTCCTGCATGCAACACCCTCAAGTAAAGCCAACCCTAAATCTATGCAGAGTTACCACGATATAATGGACTTCTCTCTCCATGTAATTTATTAGAAGGAAGTTTCACATTTAATGGACCCTTGATATAATGGACTTTCATTTATATTTAGTTCATTAGATGGAGGTTTCATATCTAACAGATCCTAGATATAACAGACTCTCATCTACGTGTAGTCTGTTATATAGAGGTTTCACTGTACAGAGACACCCATTATATATCAATACTCCTCTGCCTTCCTGGTTCATAAACCCTTTCATACAAGACTAAACATAAATTATTACTAGATATTTAATTCTCCTCTTTAAAACTATTTCTCAGTAATTAGGACCACACGTCCCTGTCAGAAAGGTATTACTTAGTAAAGAACTGAACACAACTGGCCATAAATACCCTACAACAAATAAATAAACTTATTACGGGTAAAATAATAAAACTGACACATGGAGAACCTGAAGTATGATGTCAAATATTTGTCTTAATTTCACATATCTTCCATTAAATTTTCTTTATGTTTTGGCAACCAATCAGGAGGAACCTCTGCTTCTCAACACCAAAGAAAACTTAAGAGGAGTTTACCAATTAATACAGTGAACAGATTGGCCAGAAGAGAGCAAATGTAAGCAAATATTTTCCATACATTCATTCATATATTTTTACTACATAATAATATTTTTTACTGTGGTACTTCCCTCTCATAATAATACCTTAAATATGGTTGTCACTGTACATAAGGTAGCATCGCCCAGCAGCAGTGTATTCTTCCCATAAGTCAGTTAACATAATATTCTCCACTCATTAACACACGCTGCCGCTTCCTGGGCGTCCAATATCCATCCTCTTGTGCAGCCTTTATGTTTTCTTCCCTCTCCCTCCTACCATCCATTTATGAATTATTTACTCACTTCACCCATATATGACTTCCCATTCTCTGTCTGTCAATACCATCTTAACAAACCCTGACCTACTCTTTGCTCAATCCTTGTATCACTTACACCTTTCCTTATTCTCTCACTCTCCTTCACATCATTTGTTGCCTCTTACTGGTTCCTTCCTCATGTTTCACACCCCAATGATCAAGTCACCTCAAGTATTCCCCACAACAGTACATCTTCTTCCTCACACACAGTTCTACTTTTATCACACTCTTCACTGTCAATACTCCTTGGGTTGTCAATCATTATTCAATTTACCTACATCTCTACTTTTACTTAAACACTTAAACTCCTTCTCATTCAAGCTAGCCTCTACTTCTCTACACCCTATCCTTGGAAAATAAAGTATAATTTGACCACGTTTTCATGATCAGCTCCATTACCTCTGGTTTTCCATGTGTGAGTCCCATTATCATGATCTTAATAGTAATAAAATAAAGAAAGTCTGGGTGAATGACCTTGCTCTGTGGTATGGGAGGCCCCTCGGGCTGAATGCCAGTACACTGGTCAAGGGCAGCGATGGTGGCCTGGTACTGCTGCAGCTTGGTGGTGTACGCCTGCTCCTGGGCCTCCTTCTCCGCTCTCTGTTGTTCCTCCACTATCCGCCTCTCTGCCACCAGCACTTGAACCTGCTCCTCCAGCCTGCAGAGGTATTGTTGAAAATAATCTCTAGTGCAAACAGATAAGGAGTACAGGACATATAATTATTTACTAGCCCCCCCCCCCAAAAAAAAAAGAGAGAGAGAGACAGAGAGTTTATTCAATACATAGTTTGGAATTCAAGGATTTACTGTTTTGAACACACATTCTGATTATTATAGTAATTTTTTTTTTAACAATAATCAAATATGATACTTACAGAATAAATTCATGCTGGAGGTTAGAGAGTCGTTGCTTCACCTCCTCATTCTCCTGACGCAGCTCTTCCACTTGGTGCCCGTCAGAACCCTTCTGGAAATGAAGCATCAATGTAAGTCTCGATGTTTACCATCCGTCCCCTCACCAACAAACTTTATCTTCTGAGATTTTCATACACAACAACAACAAAAAAAGACAATAACTGAGTAAGTAAAAATGGAAAATTATGGTGAAGAATGAGGCAAGTTGCAAGGTTTTAACTATCTGGAAGCGATGTTACTAAGCATGGTGTAATACAAAGGAGGAATACTCAGGGTGTCTAATGGCCAGACAAAACAAAATTCCCTGGCTTTTCCAGGTGTAAATTTGAAAAATTCCAGGTATATTAATTCTGAATTTACTATGACAGAATAACAAAATTAGAGGTTTTCAATAATATGTATACAGTATACTATTGGGAAATTTAAAGATGATATACAGTATATGATATTAATCAAGAAATTAAAGACCTTTTTGGGACCCCCCCCCCACACACCAAGCCATATTTTTCTCTTCGGATTTGCACGATTCACGTGGGTCAACCTGGACGTTCCAAAAAAAGCCAAAAATCCGTCCAAAAACGAAAAATCACACTCCTGATCCACCTATGTGACTCATGATAAATGTGTGGAATAATGTGCATAAATAAACCCACTTACCGGTAATTATAAGAACAATTCATCTCTGACAATACTCACTGCAGAATTAGTAGGTATAACCTGTAATATTTGGTTATTTGATCACTAACATGAAACATGATAGGTTCATAAATACTGTAATTCAGTTTTGGAGTGGACTATTTACTGGAATTTGTTCCTAAAAGTTTAATTATTTACCTATTATATAGTACATCATTAATTTACAGTACTGCTGTTGTCAAAATAAAAAATATTTTAGAGTTGAACTGAATTCACATAAAATTCCAGGTATATTTGTAAAATTCCTTGGCTGTTCCAGGTTTTTCAGCCCCAAATAAAATTCCCTGTCTTTTCCAGGGTTTCCAAACCAGTGGACACCCTGAATACTGTTTACAATTAAAGAACTCGGAGATAATACAATAACCCTTGACTTAACTTTTGGCAGTGAAACATTGACTTCGAATAAACTAGAATGTTCTAATATACAAACTACAGAGATGGGACTATTTGACAACTGCCTCTGAGGTTACCAGTTGTGGAGGTAAGAAATAATGACGTGTGAGGAGCTTGGAAGGCAAAGCAGGCAGAGGGAGTATATTGTGGAGTGGTGAAATGGGTAAAGAGAGCTCTAAGTGGGTTGGTGGAATGGTTAAAGACATATCTGAGAAGGTTGGTGGAATGGGAAGAGAGAGGAGGTTTGCTGGGATGGTATGGTACTGACATGTGAGAAAGGTGAAGGAGAGGATGGTAAAGAGAGTGTATAGGGGCAGTGGGTTGGTTCCAATACTGCCTGCCCTAGTAGAGATAACCCCAGTGTATACAATGGATGACAAAAACCTTGAATATTTAGTAATACCTGGGACCTCACACAGTACCTAAGGTCATACTTAAAGAGTTAATATGATCTGAGGACCCCATAGCTAAAGGGTTAATGTGATCTTACTGGGTGAGAGCCGAGCCTACCTGACCAGAATCCATGACACCACCGTTATTCTTCTGGTGGCGGCTGCGTGCATGTGAGCTGTCCTCTAACTCCTGTTGCTTGTGGTGCTTGTTCCTGCGAGGACTGGCAGCCTCCACTAAGGTGTTTCTCACAGGCTGTCCTTCCTCATTGTCATCAGCCTCTACTGAGTAAATCTGTGGAGAGGTAATTACTGTTACTTAACTAGTATATCTCTTACAGTAGTCCATGTAATATCTTTGGTATGTGTTCTGTGACATGTGTTTCTTGTGGTCACTACTGAATAGGCATTTAGGTGTTTGTAAATCTAAATTTAGATCTGTGTTTTATGGTTTTGTTAACTTGACAGTCTGGGGCAGAATAGTCAACTTCTCTATGCCCAAGCACAGTATATGAAATTCTTGTACGTGATGGTGAAAACTGCCAACTCACTGCCACCATACAGTCAGTTGCCAAGAAAAGCTTATAATCCTGCTGTATCATGCATCATAACACAAGTTCTTTGAGGTGGCCTTGGATGTGAGACTTCAGGTGCCACGTGTCATATACTAGCAGTGTCATATGACGGTATGTGAGACACCCACATACAGTAGTAGCATCTGTGAGTCCCAAGGCTATATCTAACAAATCCTGGTTCAAGATTCTGCTATGTTCAGTATTTCTCAAACATGGTAATAATTTCATTTGCTGCACGGTATGATGGCAAAAAATGTTGAGTTTTTTGGTTATCAACATTTCTAACATGAAATAGTAAAAATAAACATTCAAAATACCAGGACATAAATTATCAAGGCTTTGCACATTAATTTTTCTCATGACTACAAATATAAGAACAATATATTAAAAACTAAGCATTTACACAAGAAATGTTATTCTTGAATATTGATTCATAATAAAAAAAAATATAATATTTAAGGTGGTCCAAAATGCTTTAAGAGGATGGGTGAAAAACGACTATTAACTCATGTGGGTTAATATTCGTTTAATGGCTGCGGCAAGGATTTAGGTTAGGTTACGTAGGTTTGGTTGGTTAGGATAACTTAATAAGTAATACATAGTTAGGTTTATCTTAGGTTTCAACAGTGATTTGGAAGTTTAATTCTCATAACAAAAATGAGCCACAGTCATTAAATGAATATTTACCCCAGAGTGCTTTCAAAAAGTCCAAATTACTCAAAAAATATAAATTTAGTGATGGAAAGATAATAGAATAAATTGATCTTTTTTGGGCTTTCTCTCTATAAATATGTTCTGTGGTGTAACTGAAACGAATCTTAACCTTGTATTTAATCACCATTCACAGATTCTTATATTGGTATCTACCTTGTATGGTAAAATTATTGTTTCAGTCATCCACCAATATGTCAAGGGTTCGAGCCTTGGCCCGGACACATGCGAGAAGTGTTATCCAGTGTGACCTTCACTACCAAACACCACAAGTTGTTTCCTCCAGTACTAACACTGGATAAACCGGCCTAATGGCTAGTAAATTGATAAGTGGCGAATGTGATAAAAACAAAAAACATTGGAAAAACATCATTTCAACCTAACCTAACCCAACCTAACCTGATGGATGACCAAAACGATTATAATACCCCAGTGTATAACTTTAATTATTACTGAATTAGTATTATACCTCAAACAATTATAGAACATATAAAGAATAACTCTGATGTGCAAATTCCAAGACCACACCATTAGCAGAGTATATCAGTAAAGTAGCTAGACATGACCCAATATATTGCAACATGTCCCCTCACTTAATGACATATAGTGTACCATCAAAATTATATTCTAATTACCGAGTTTAATTATTTCTTATTAGATTTAAAGTTTAAATACCATCTAATTCCCTATAAAATAGTGACACAATTTAATATAATCCATTATGGCAAAACATTAAAATCATTGAGCCTAGTTGAGGAAAAACAGCACAAGATGTTTTAACCAAATGAGATAAATTTCCAAAAGTTTTCAATGCCACAGCTTTTAAAACATTTAATGAGTTATAACACGAACATAAAGTTAATTTGCAACATATATGAGTAATAATTAACCCTATATACCAGTGTTAATGGCAGTAAAGTGTTAAACAAGTTATCTATGGCCATTACAGCAAGGCCATACGTGGTGTTAAACTTCTAACCTTGTGTTAAAGCCCCACACATCTTCCCTCCTGGACGGCTGATTTCTGCCTTAATATCTCTCTGTTGGTGCCAGCAGGGCGAGATAAGGGCATACTGCTGGCCCAATCCCTCATAGATAGTGTAGAGTTAGTGAGGGAGACATAGGAGGTGTGTGGACACAGGAACAACACAGAGGCACTGACAACAACAAAGCACCACCACCTCTCCTCCCTACACGCTGCCACACACCCTCAATTTTTAACTATTATTTACCTCTAATAACTCATCTATCAACCCATTAGAACCTTAACTAAAAGTATAATATATATTCTATCTCATACTATAAGGTTGTAGTCGTTTAATGCAGTGTTAATAGGTTAATAATGAATCAAGGTAGAGGATCTTCACGACATGTAGCGTCATCTGCTCGGCCGCCATTCACACTACTTCTGTAAACAACTTCCTTTTTCATGTCCCACGCTTACTACACCATATATATGAATGACCGCCCCCTATAACATCTCCATATATTATAAAATCTGGATATTAAACATCTGATGGTAAAAGGGTAAAGTTTATAATGCAGAAAGTGAGAGATAGGGGGAGAGAGAGAGTGGGAGAGTCAAGATGTTGGCAACAGGAGGGCCGCGGGGCTGGATGAGTCATGCACGAGGAGTAGTGAGCCACACTGTTAACGGGCCACACTGTTCGAGGGCCACACTGTTAGCGGGCCACACTGTCAGAGGGCCACATTGTCATCAGGCCACAGTCAGCATGCCACACCGTTAATGGGACCACACTATTAACGGGCCACACCGTTAACGGGACCACACTGAACTTCCTTGATAGATAGATTTTCTGTAAAAATCCTCCTGACAGCATGGAGCTACTATGACTGACACCCAACATAAGGGCTGATAGTAAGCAAGTTGACAGTGATTAATTATAGAGGTGAACTTTACCTTAAACATGATTATCGAGGAGATATAACCACACGCCTTTTAAATACGTAACGAACACATTTTTAATTCTGAGTTACAATTAACTTCCCATAAGAATTAAATATTCAGGACACAAAACGTTAAGATTCTACTGTACCAAACACACACACACTGGTGATAATTACTTATGTCCTGTTTGGCTGAAGTTGCTGGGGGAAAGACGCAAGCGGATATCCACATTGGTTTCACGGTTATCCAGACTGTTCTTTAATGTTTATCCACACTGTTCTTTTACGGTTATCCACACTGTTCTTTCACGGTTATCCACACTGTTCATTTATGTTTATCCACACTGTTATTTTACGGTTATCCACACTGTTCTTTCACGGTTATCCACACTGTTCATTTATGTTTATCCAACTGTTCTTTCACGGTTATCCACACTGTTCTTTCACGGTTATCCACACTTCTTCCACGGTTAGATAAGTCTCCCCTATGCCAAACTTTCTAACTAAATACAAGTTATCGATTACAGGTAAAATACTGATGGTGTGAGTGATAGAGCAACAAGAGTCGTGCACCCACCACCACCACAGCCCAGAGACCTTGTGTGGTGTGTTTACATTTACCGTAAATGTCCACATTCGGTGTAAATATAGCGGCCGAGGGAACGTAACGGTGTAAGTGTGGAGGTCTTGGGAGTGTTGGTGGAGTTGGCAGCCAGTGAGTGGTGGTAGTGGTGGTGGTGAATGGTGGTGGTAGTGGTGGTGGTGAATGGTGGTGAGTGTTGCTCTTGTTTCCTGCTACTGACTCGGTGTGTGTGTGCGCAACATTTAACCTTCAACTGTCAGGTTGGGGAAATACCAGTCAAATAAATATCACAGTTTATCAATACCTACAAACTCCCGGCGGCACAAGTCTTGACAACAGAAACTAAACCAAACTTGTATACGAGGAAGGTCCTACAGTGCAACTTATCATGGTAGACCAACAGTGAGAATTAAATTGTAAAGTGAGGCTTAGAATCAGTGATCAATACAAGACAATGATCATGATAATTATAAGCTGTAAAAGGTTTAACTAAGTGTAGGACTCCGTCTTACCTTCAGACAGTGTTCCTTGGAGCCCGTGGAGGACCCTGAGCTGCGGGAGAGGCTGGAGGGCGGCGTGCCATGATCCCCGTGGTCGGGGGCGTGGCCAGGGGCGGGGGCGGGGACAGCAGACCTTGGGCACACGTCCTCGCGGTGAGTGGAGGGAGACAGCTTAAGCGTAGAGCACCGAGACGCCGTCGAGGACAACGTAGAATCTGGCGGACCACAACAAAAGTTAAGGCTCGTTTAACCCTTAACATTCAACAAGTTTAAACACCCAATGTCTTCGTTGATCCTTTACAGCGAGATGTATTTAAAGATAACTCGTTGATGTCCTCGTTGACCTCTACAGTTTTAAGTCACCAGTCGCTGTACTCGTTGACCCCCAGAGGGCAAGTGACCCCGGAAAGTAACCGCCGGTCTTTAATTTTTTAGGTTTTTAAATTATGCTAATTAGCGAAATAAAGTTAAATATGTTGTTCACAGTTAAGATGCAGTCAACTCACTCAATGACTCCTTCTAGTACATTGTCTTAACGTTACTGTGACCAACAAGCGGTGTTAAGCCACTCAATGGGTAGTCTACTTAAGCTGTTATCAGAGGTTAACGTTATCGTACGCTGTCATACTCGAGAGGAAAACAATCAACATCAAAATGATGAAGGCGTCGTACTGAGAACAATGGATTATCGTACACTGGGGTTGTGATGTCTTAAGGTTACATTTTGATGTTATAATTAAAGGGTAAGCTATCGTACTCATGGGGAACACGACATGGTAATTAAGTATTAAGCTTGACTTATTGTACTCAAGGGGTTATAATCGTTATTTGGGGACCATTTATCGTACTAAGTGACAGAAACAACTTAATCAAACGTAAAGGTATCGTACTCCAGAAAAATGAGGTAACGTAATTCAGGGGAGGTTATCGTACTCCATGGAGTTGGAGGTAATACGACATCGTACCCAATGGGGTGAGGTCAACGTACTTAAAAATCATCGTACCTGAAAAGTTACAAACACAAACATACACCGCAAGCATTCAACCACAGACTTGTGGAGGAGAAACAGACACTGACACATGATACAGACAAGAGGCAGATGCAAGCACAAGGCACAGACGTTGCCAAATGTAAAACATGTAAAAAAAAAAGACTTACGTATAAGGCATTATGAGAGACTGAAGAAGTATAACTGCATATTGACAAGTAATAATAGTGTGAAGAAAAGAATAATAACTGAATAATATTTTAAGTTATAATTAATAGAGACAGACTCACTGTATAACCATATTGAGACACAGACATGTTGAAAAGGTTTATAGTGGGTCCAGACATGCTGACAAGACACAATGAGACGGAAAGGCATGATATGGAGCCACAATGAGGTACCGAGACAACATCCAAGCCATAGGACAGACATAACTAAATATTAAAAAGGACTATGATGAATAATGGTGTATAAAAACATAATAACAGAAGGTAAAAGGAATAATAATAATGATGATAATAATAATAATAATAATAATAATAATAATAATAATAATCTATGAAATAAGGACACATTTTCTCACCTGGAGGCGTAATAAACTCTATTTTCCCGCCAGTAACACAGAGGTTTGGTGCTGTGGGGTAGGCGGAGGTGGTGATGGTGGTGGTGGTGGTGGTGTTTGTGGTGGGGGAGGAGGTGGTGGTGGTGGTGGAGGAGGAGGAGGGGGACTTACAGGGTGAGAGACGCCCCCCACCACGCTCCAGGCTCCTGCGGGCGTACGGGGCGGCAGACACCACTAAGTCCGCTGGGTGCACCTGTCTGTAACGCCCACAAAAAACAAACATCAAACGTGACACACTGTAACAAGGTAACACTCTAAATGCTGGGTGTTACAGTAGCAAGGTAACTCTATAACAATGGGTGTGACACTGTAACTATGATGACACAGTAGCAATGGGTGTGACACAGTAACTATGGGTGTGACACAGTAACTATTGGTGTGACATTAATACTAGATGTGGCATGTAACACTATGACACCTGATGCAACACTGTGATGTGGAGACCACTGTAACAAGTAACACACGATTGATTGAAGCACAAAACACTGAACCAAATATTATCTGTCTGTAACACCTAACACACACCATCACTCGTAACACACACTACCACTGGTTGTAACAAGTAACACACTATGATTGTAACAGTGCCTGGTAACACAAATAACGGTGACTGTTGGTGAGAATTAAGTACAGCTGAAACACGTAACAGGGGTTTAACTGTCTAGAAATGATTAGTCGTTAAGCGTAACACGGTTGTCACACACTCACTGTAACAACGCCGTACGGGCAGTAACATTGGTAATGAACTGTATGTGACTTAATACCTAAATGAGTAGTAACATATCTGTCTGTCTGTCACAATATCTGTCTCTTTCTGTCTGTCTGTCACTGTGTCTGTCTCTTTCTGTCTGTCTGTCACTATGTCTGTCTCTTTCTGTCTGTAGGTCACTGTGTCTGTCTCTTTCTGTCTGTCTGTCACAATGTCTGTCTGTCACTGTATCTGTCTCTTTCTGTCTGTCTGTCACTGTGTCTGTCTCTTTCTGTCTGTCTGTCACAATGTCTGTCTCTTTCTGTCTGTCTGTCACTGTGTCTGTCTCTTTCTGTCTGTCTGTCACTATGTCTGTCTCTTTCTGTCTGTCTGTCACTGTGTCTGTCTCTCTCTGTCTGTCTGTCACTGTGTCTGTCTCTTTCTGTCTGTCTGTCACTGTGTCTGTCTCTTTCTGTCTGTCTGTCACAATGTCTGTCTCTCTCTGTCTGTCTGTCACTGTGTCTGTCTCTTTCTGTCTGTCTGTCACAATGTCTGTCTCTCTCTGTCTGTCTGTCACAATGTCTGTCTCGTCTCGGCCAACATACAGGTCTGGTCTGGTCTTTCTTCACCACCGGAAGGGATCGACGCCGCCTCTTCCTCCTGTAGAGTAACTACAGAAGGAGCAGGAAGGAGGTGCAGCACTACAGAAGGAGCAGGAAGGAGGTGCAGCACTACAGAAGGAACAGCAGGAAGGAGGTGCAGCACTACAGAAGGAGCAGGAAGGAGGTGCAGCACACAGGAAGGAGAGGAGCAGGAAGAGGTGCAGCACTACAGAAGGAACAGCAGGTACAACAGCACTTGGTTGGTGAACTGTGTGGGTGCTAATCACACACACACACACACACACACACACACACACACACACACACACACACACACACACACACACACACACCACAACGCTAAATTGTCCATCAGAAGAGTACTTAGCGCGGGAGATTATGACTCATCCCTCCCTCCCTCCCACACATCCTCTTCCTCCCACCACCCGCTACTCTCTCTCTCTCTCTCTCTCTCTCTGAACTACTTTCCTTATCTCATTTCTCTGTCTCTCTTCCCCTCTCCTCCTACATTTACTCCCATCTGTTTCCCCCTTTTCTCCTCTGTATGTCTGTCTGTGTCTCCTTCTATTTTTATCCATTCAGAGAGAGAGAGAGAGAGAGAGAGAGAGAGAGAGAGAGAGAGAGAGAGGGAGAGAGAGAGATGGTAGACGAGTGTGTGGTGGTGATCTTTCCAGAGCTTGAAGTGCACATAACTACTGGCACACACACACACACACACACACACACACACACACACACACACCATTTGTTAGCTGCCAAGTTACATAAATACCATTACTTATACAAACATTATGAGAGAGATAGAGAGATGGATGGAAATCTTCACACATCCAATAACTACATTACTGCCACTGTGTGTGTGTGTGTGTGTGTGTGTGTGTTTGCAAGCAGTTTGGTAGTGCGTGGAGTGTCTGGGGTGCACGTGCAAACACCTGTGGTCAGACACAACTGTGCGCCCGGTGTGTGTGTGTGTGTGTGTCAGTGCTACAGGTAAACACACGGGCAGGAAGGGACTCATTTACCCCTGGCCAGGTAAGGTCCAGGTTCTTACGTGTAGTCCCCCCCCCCCTCGACCCCCTGGCTGGCGACGACTAAATTGCCTATGATTTCTGAGGTAGATCGCCACTGTAATAGCTACACTTTGATCGCCACTATGATACTGTAGTTACACTCTGATCGCCACTGTAATAGCTACACTCTGATCGCCAGGATAAAATCTCCAAACTTCGATTACCAGACTGATCGCCCGATGAATATTGATACGATTTTATTTAATAGTGACTTGCTACAACTGCTTGAGAGAGAGAGAGAGAGAGAGAGAGAGAGAGAGAGAGAGAGAGAGAGAGAGAGAGAGAGCATCGCGTTACTAGCCACATCTGGCAGGACTGCTCTAGGTGTTGCCATAACCCTTGAAGCTGTTGTATATTTAATTCCGGCTACACTAGAGCATCGTACCGTACACACTGCTTCACTATAAATACTCGAGCCTGTGCAGTATTTTGAAGTAAATTTTATCATAATCATAGACACCGTAATATATCATATATAAATATATACTCAATGTTCAATACGTTTTGTTATATGACTTGTTAATATTATTAGGCGATTACTAAGCTATACTGTTTTTGTGTTTTAATCGATAACGGTCATATATTTCACTAAAATAATAAAAATTTTGATACAGTAAATAAATTAAACCAATGTAAGTTATATAAACACCACGTTACTTAAATATATATAATACATTACTTTTATAACACCTAGAAAAGTTTATTTAATCTCAGCAAACTGTGTTGGGGTCACTCACGGCTGAACACAAAGACAAGAAAATATTTAATGAAAATCGTAAAAAATGACAAATCTTGGCTGGGTTTTCAGTGTATACTTAATGATGGTGTGTCAGCGTCAGGCGGGCTATGGCGGCCACATGTTAGTTATCTACATATATGAATTTTGAGAAGCCTTTTATATTCTAATGATGACGGAGTCTTCAAAATGCACATGTGTGTTGGATGACTGACGTGAGTTGATACCTCCGCGCCTAACCTAACCTGACCTGACCTAACCTAACTAAACCTAAGCTAACCCAAGTGGTGCTAACCTAACCTAACCCGATAACCTAACCGAAGGTAACCTAATCTGAACTAACTAAACCAAAATTGACCGAGCTGAAATTAACCTAACCTAAACTAACTATACTTAACTGAACTTAACCTAACCTAAGGTAAGCTAACCTAACCTAACCGACTTAAAATTAACCCTAACTTAAACTATCCCCAAACTAAATTAAACTAACCTAACCAAATCCACGACTTTTAATATGAATATTCAGGTGTGTTTGTCCCCTACTCTCGCTCTTTCTGTGTGTGTGTGTGTGTGTGTGTGTGTGTGTGTGTGTGTGTCCCAAGCATTATTCATAAAACACGGACATGAACCCCCTAAAAACACACAATTGTTTTCTATTCAAATTAGTATTATTAATGTAAACAGACGTAATAAATTTTGCATACACGGCGTAAACAATGTAACCCAGAGCGTAGAGCCGGTGAGGGGCGGCACGGATATAGTACACTGCAAACTAAGTTATATTTCGGTATAGCGTTTAAGATCATAAAAATTGTATACAAGACAAAAATGAGAAGTTAAACGAATCTCATGAATATTAAGCCCCATCAGCTTATTTTACCTGATGATTGAATACCTTAGCGCTACCTGTGGGGTTAGGTTAGGTGTGTTAAGACTTTACCTGTAAGCTTCCAGGGATTGGTCGGAAGAGAAACTGTGTCAATAGGTGATACTAATTGCACCTGTATCACACAATGTCACAGGTATACGATAAACACATTTCGTTTTGACAGCATCTATTGCAGTATTTTCTGTTCCTTTACCAGGGTAACAAAGAAATCAAAATTGGTTTATGAAGCAGAACTCGTAAACAAACTTGGCAGACGCGTTGACTTTCCAAGGTACGAGTCAACAGGAATTGCTTAAAACTTTTCCTACATTCACTGCCCCGTAAAGCACTGTGTTCCTGGAGGGCTGAGGTCACTACTGTACTACATGGAGGCGAGGAGGAACTTGTGGTAAATCCTGGTAATTTTACGACGATTTTCCTGCTGTTAGGGATTATTCTAGTTCTGTGGCGGTAATAAGTCAGTAGGAGGTGGAAGTGGTACAGTGGCTGGTGTGTCTTGAGAGATGTGGCACCTCTGTGGAACCTTAATCTAGCTGCTATTGAGAGGTTCCTTAGGGCCATTCCAGGAGTTTTAACACAATGTAAACAAACACACAGTTACCACATCTCACAAGATGTGCCAGCCACTGTACCAGGTGGAAATGCTGCCGACTGCACTACATCAGTGAGTAACTGCTGAGTAAAGACCCGCCGGCACACTCATTACTCGCTGACTCAGTTACTGAGAACCTTTTACCTCGGCGAATTTAAAGGACCTGTCACCTGTATATTCGGTTCACATGAAAATTGGCCACCCCAGCTTATTTCGCCTTAAGACTAGCCGCCCTAATGCTATCTTAATGTAATATAACCTACCCTAACCTAATGTAAACTAACCTACCTTTACCTAACATAACCTAACCTAACCTACCCTAACCTAATGTAAACTAACCTACCTTTACCTAACATAACCTAACCTAACCTAATCCCTGTAGGAAGCATTAGGGTATTTTATCACTAGGTGAAATAGGCTGGGGACTACTCTTTAGTGGTGTGTGTGTCGTCACCCTGGCGGAGGTGTAACACTGCACTAAACGCCAAGTGGGTGGTGTTCGTCTCCTGTCCTAAACGTCCAGGACACCCCTAGTTCACCCAGGTGTGAATGGTACCTAACTTTATGCCTTGGAAAGTGAAAGGTTGGAGTACAGTACTGGTAACACTGCTTCCTTGTGTAGCGGAACAATACAGTGTGTTGTATCCACGCTGCCCCACACGGCCGTCCGGTACAGTACAGAGACAGAGGTTCAGTATGTTAGTTTGTCCTCTAACAGGTGATGCTGCGTCAACACCAGAGGTAACACATCTTACCTGGCAACAATATACCTTTACCTCACCTGCCATTAATGATCCTTACAATAAAACAACACCTTTAGAATATTCAAAAGGTCAATTACACTGTGTCCGTGAGCTTTTAATCCCCCCCTGAAATATTTCCTCAAGGATACACACTAACGTTACCATGTTCTGACTTACTGTGAAGTTTATTAAGAGGTCACCTGACTGATGCAATATTGTGGTAAATATATAACATAACTGAGTGTGTAGGTTATGTTAGCTGTTAGTCCCTTGCTATATGGTACCACTGTTAGCACTCTCTCTTCTGTAATTACACAACACCAATATATGTAATATATGACTGACACACACACACACACACACACACACACACACACACACACACACACACACACACACAGCCAGACGGAGATAATAACAGACATACTCAAACACATTTAGGCCGGAACACTTCACTTACAGGCTATTCGGGTCGGCGGACAAAAATTTTTCCTCCAAGACGAACAAAGACAAGCCGGTGGGTAAGTCACGCTAATGGTCCATGGTGTGGGAAAAATAGTTACTTCGGTCATTTTAATTAAACAAATCTAACTTTAGTCTAATTTAGTATTTTTATTACTCGTTTAGTTCAATTAAATCTAGGTGTGTGTGTGTGTGTGTGTGTGTGTGTGTGTGTGTGTGTGTGTGCGTGTTGGCGTTGACACACCTGGGAAAAAACAGCGTGGCGTAGCGGCAATAGCCATATCCAGCACAGTTACCTGCAGTCATCCGCCGCCCAGTTTGTGAGAGATGGGGAGCTCCTGCCTACCTCAGCTTCATCTCTCACATTTCTACGGGTTTATCATCCATAAAACTGTTACCATTCGACTCACGTATGGTCTGTGTACCTTAACGTCCGCCACAGGTTAGAGCATCATCGTGTGTGTGTGTGTACGAACTTTTATCGTCAATTCAGTACGATTACAATAATTAATCCAACAATGTATAATAACAATCCTTTGAGTACGATAAACAATCCTTTAGAGTACAATACTATAATCACTTGAGTACAATAACATAATCGGCAAAGTACGAACATTTAAGCCACAAATACACTAAATAGTTCAATGAATGAATGTTTAAAAGTCATGATAGTGAGAGCGCGTCAAATGAGGGCAGAATGAACCTCAGTGTAGGCGAAAATATACTGAAAGTCTGTCTGGTGATGACTAAACCGGGGTGAGGCGGGCAAGGTCATGGGCTCCGGCGGTCGTGTCAAGAGTTTACGACCGCAGAAGAATTTTGGTAAACAAAGGGAAAAACGGTTCAAAAAACAATGGAGCCTCGACAAGTGCAGTGCATTACTAACTTTCTCTGTTTGTGTTTTTTTGTACGCTTAACATTTCTCGTAAGTTAATGTAAAATGACGTACCTAACTGATTAACTTAAGATAAAACGCAAAATGTACTTCAAAATTAACACTGAGACTACATTAACTAGATACGACCACTTAACACTGAGACTACATTAACTAGATACGTCCACTTAACACTGAGACTACATTAACTAGATACGACCACTTAACACTGAGACTACATTAACTAGATACGTCCACTTAACACTGAGACTACATTAACTAGATACGTCCACTTAACACTGAGACTACATTAACTAGATACGACCACTTAACACTGAGACTACATTAACTAGATACGTCCACTTAACACTGAGACTACATTAACTAGATACGTCCACTTAACACTGAGACTACATTAACTAGATACGACCACTTAACACTGAGACTACATTAACTAGATACGTCCACTTAACACTGATACTACATTAACTAGATACGTCCACTTAACACTGAGACTACATTAACTAGATACGTCCACTTAACACTGAGACTACATTAACTAGATACGTCCACTTAACACTGAGACTACATTAACTAGATACGTCCACTTAACACTGAGACTACATTAACTAGATACGTCCACTTAACACTGAGACTACATTAACTAGATACGTCCACTTAACACTGAGACTACATTAACTAGATACGTCCACTTAACACTGAGACTACATTAACTAGATACGTCCACTTAACACTGAGACTACATTAACTAGATACGTCCACTTAACACTGAGACTACATTAACTAGATACGTCCACTTAACACTGAGACTACATTAACTAGATACGTCCACTTAACACTGAGACTACATTAACTAGATACGTCCACTTAACACTGAGACTACATTAACTAGATACGTCCACTTAACACTCAGACTTATTTCAGTGTTTTATCGTAAGTCAACCAGTCCGTTACATTATTCTACCTTAAGTTACGAGTAATATTGGCCGTCAGACACTTTAAGAACAGAGGCCTTTGTCGGGTCTCGTATAGTAAGCATCACGATCTCTCTCTCCTGTGGACGAGACAGTTTTGAGCTCGAGTAAGTCTAGAAATGTCTCTCTGTCTCTCGTAATGTCTCTCTTTCTCTCGAGTTCTTATTCCTTTACAGACACAAGTGTTAAAATATCACCATTCACTTCCGGTGGTGGGAGAGATAGCCGTACTTCAGTGAGGTGAGGTGAGGTGAGGTGAGGTGAGGTTAAGCTAGGTTAGATAGATTTAGATGGGCAGCTTGTGTGACCAGACACCCCCGACAAACACCTGTATTATGAGACAGGTGTGTCGCTACGCGTCCTGGTATAAACAGTACGTTACGTTACCTTTCATGGCCTATACAATGTAAACAAATAGCCATGACGTCACTTCCGCCTACAGGTACAACAGGTAAGCGGATCTGTCACAACATTACCAGGTGACTTAATTAACATCACTCTACACAGGTATAAATACATCCTGTGGTGCCGGGATTATAATGGGGAGACCACACCTGTTGACGCATATATAGTGTATACCCATAACAGAAGGATATATATTATTTAAGTTGGAATTTACTTTATTTTTAAGAAAATAACATTGAGTTGATGTTATTCCTTGGTGGAGTATATTAATTCTTTATCTCAGGTTAATAGTCGATTACAGGTAAGCTTTCATTCATTAGTTTAATATAGTTTACTACGATTCCTCCTCCACACACACACACACACACACACACATACACACACACACACACACACACACACACACACACACACACACACACACACACACACACACACACCTCAAGAGACTCTGGCCTTGTCAATATCACACAGTAACGGCGGTGGGAGAGGGACACGACTCATTCAATATAGATGCAACGTGGGTTCGTATCCTCTCTATCTGCTGGATCTACAGTATATATGATGAGAAACGTGAGTGAGTGGGTCCGTACACACACACATACATACACGTATACGTACATACATACATATATTCATTCATACGCACGAATACACACGGGTGGAGAGGATGTTTATATCTTTAGAAGGCATTGATGTTTCGTTTGTCTGTCTGTCTCCCTTACTCCACGCAGCCTCTCTCTCTCTCTCTCTCTCTCTCTCAGTATGGGGTAGAGGCCTAGGGGGCAGAGACAGGCGGGAAGGGACGCGTCAAGATAAAACGCAAAGAAAAATGGTTTCCATATCCGAGTGCTGGAACTACTCTCTCTCTCTCTCTCTCTCTCTCTCTCTCATACATAAACTAACTTTTCTTGCAGTTTTAAAGTCTGGAAAATTAAAGCCATAACAACCTGGGTGAACTGACACTGACCTGGCACTGACTTTAATGACCTGGTACTGACCTTAATGACCTGTTACTGACCTGGATAACCTGGAACTGACCTGGATGACCTGGTACTGACCTGGATAACCTGGAACTGACCTGGATAACCTGGAACTGACCTGGATGACCTGGTACTGACCTGGGGGAGGCGGACTTGCGGTCGGGGGTGTCGAGGGACGGGACATCGCCTGGTGGGGGGCTTCTCTCACTCTTCCGGCCGCGACCTGACCTGTAACGAGGGGTCAGAGGTCAACTGGAGAGTGAAGTGGTGGTTAGGTCACACACACACACACATACACACACACACACACCTCCCTGGGCAGCGACGAACTTAATAGGATAATGTGAATGGCTGTAGTGAGTGTGAGGGATGGGAGGGTAAGTGAGAGTGATGGGAGAGTGATGAGAGACAGTGAAAGTGATAGGAAAGTGAGTGAGAGTGATGGGGAAGCGTGAGTGAGAGTGATGGGGGTGTGGGTGAGTGATGGGAGAGAGTGATAAAAGCTGTAATAATAATAAGCTAAAATAACCAAACAAAAGAAAAATGGCGTAAAATTGCACTAAGACTCTATACCATAACTAACCAAGAGTCTCTAATACTCAAGTTAAGACCCCATCAAAAAAGGCTCCCTCAAGAAGACCTCCAAATAAAAGACTTCACAAAAAAGGTCCAAATAAAAGATTCCTCCAAAAAGACCCCCTGAAAAGACTCCCCCCAAAAGGACCCATGAAATAAAAGACCTTCCAAAAGACAAAAAGACCCCCCCCCCCCAATAAAAGCATCTTACAATGGTTCTCAAAAAGTTGTGTTGTTCTTACAGGTGGACATCAGCAGCGAACAGGTAAGACCCAACAGGTAAAGCTCAGAACCCAGACCAGACCAGCCAGGTAAGGTAGCGTTAGTTAGCTGTGGTCCCACCTGGTCACTAACACAGGAAATGAAGATTGCTGCCGTTTTTTGTTTTGTATCTCGAGGGTGTAGCAACAAAGACCTACAAACCACATCTAGATACACTTATCCTCTCTGTCATTTATACACAAGGGTGATTTTTCATCTTATTTGTGGTGAGTGTGTGTGATACGTCCCTCTTTCCCCCTGGGTGGAGATACACACTGCAATCTGGGTGTTAACGAGGTGTATTATACACTTTGGGTGTCGTTTTGGTCGTGTTTCTGTGTACTATTATGACCAGTGGTGGCTCTTCTACACCCTGGGCGATACACTGTTGAGTTTACACCCCTTCCTCTTGACTACTACACTCACTATCATACACACACACACAGACACCACTACACTCACACACATACACACTCAAAAATATACAGCACTACACTCAGTCTCACACATACACACGCAAACCTTATTTTCCATGTAAAAAATGCCCATTTCCTCCCGTTTCCCCCAATTTAATTCCCCACACAGAGGATCCAGTTCCCTAATACACGATACCCAATTAATACCCTATTTCTCAGTGAAAACCCAATTACCTCCTCCCTATTTTTCCGACAAAGACCCTATTTCCTTCCAATATTTCCCCATACAGAATATCCAATTTCCTATCCTATTTCACCACAACCATAACCAATTTTCCCACAACCAATACCCAATTTCCACAACAACCACGACCCCTATTTGCCCCCTCCCCCCCTCCCCCGCTACCAGTCTCGTGGGTGCCGGAAATGAAGGTGTTGATTGGCACCCCTACCTGTGGCACCACCTGTCTCTCTATGGCACCGTGGCACTGTGGGAAGCCTTTGTCCTGGGCGAGTGTCTCTCTCTCTCTCTCTCTCTCTCTCTCTCTCTCTCTCTCACCACATTATCACCTATTCCTTCCCTCTTGGTTTATCATACCTTCCCTTGTCCACACTCACCTCAAGAGACTACCTTCATTACTCTCCCTTCACCTCTCCCTCACTCTCCCATTTTTCCTCCTCTTCCACCTGTAATCACGTCCTGCCTCTCTTCCCTCTTCAATTATCTTGTCTTCTTCCCTTCCATCTCCTTTCCATAATTCCTCACTTTGTTATGATGATGGACGTAGAGAAACAGGGTAAATATACATTGTTTTTCCGGTACACCTTCAGGCTACACCCTCAGGCTACACCCTCAGGCTACACCCTCAAGTAACACCCTGATCAACACCCTTAAGGACACACCACCCTGTAACACCCTCAGGCAACACCCTAATTCATGCCTTCCTTTTATTCTCGACAACACACACACACACACACACACACACACACACACACACACACACACACACACACACACTTCACCACGAGCGGAACAAACGTTTGTGTCAGCTCCGCCACAAACGTTCGCTGGATGGACAGTGTGAGGCGTGACTAAGTGTAGGGCCAGACTCTGCTTAGTCCCTCCCTGTCCTTCCCTCCCACCTCTGTCACGGCTCGTTGACTACAAGGGGGGAGGGAGGGAGGGAGGGGGGGGGAGGGGGGGGGGGAGGGAGGAAGGGGAGGGTTACGTCTTGGAAAGTGGGAGGGATGTACAGAGAGAGAGAGAGTACTCTCTCTCTCTCTCTCTCACCACTCTGCCACAACAAATTCCAACACCCAGTAATGTTTCCCGACTATAAATCCCTCCCCCAACACTCACTATCTCTCCTCTTCCCCTCCCTCATCTACCCCTTCCTCATCCCTTTCTCATTTCCTCACCTTTAAAATCCCTACTCTCCCTCCTTTGCCCTCTCTCTCTTCCTCCTTTCTCTCCCTCCTCCTCTTTCTCTCTCTCTCTCTCTCTCTCTCTCTCTCTCTCTCTCTCCATCCTTCCCATCTCCCCTACAATGCCTCCTCTTTCCCCTTCCTCCATCCTCCTCTTTACCCTTCTCTCCTTTCACCAACACCCTCACCAACACTCAACACTTTCTGCTACCCTCACCAACAAGATGGTTCTACAGGTAGCGAGTCAATATATGTTACACCTCACCACACTCTCTCTCTCTCTCCTCTCTCTCTCTCTCTCTCTCCCTTCACCTTCACCCCTCACCCTTCACATCCCCTCCCCTCTTTCTTTATCTCCACCTCACCACACTTCTTCCCCACTCTTCATTACCTCCCCCACCTTCCCTCCCCCCACATGTTATTTGACAACACCAACACCTGTTTACAACATGTTTGACGTCATCCTAAAACACACACACACACACACACACACACACACACACCACACACACACACACACACACACACAACACAGCTGTCAACGTGTGGGTGTACTGTGCGCCTGATGTTATTAAATGGTAAATCAACTTGGTTTTCTCCCAACACTCAATACTTCCTCCAACACACTGCCAGGTATTCCTCCAACACTATTGGGGTCTGACAATACCGAACACCTCTTCCAACACATAGGCTTACAACAATATCCTACACCTCCTCCACCACCTAGGCCTCCAACACCCCCCAGGCCTCAAACACCCCCACCCACCACACTAGGCCTCCAACACCTCCCCCTCCACCACCTAGGCCTCCAACATACCACGAGGGCCAGACCGTCGACGCCAATCGTCCAGTATTTCATCTCCCGTTTTGGAGTATTGATTAAAGTGCCTCACACCCTCTGACTTGGCAACACTTCCCAGGCCTCCTCACACCCTCTGACTTGGCAACACTTCCCAGGCCTCCCCAACCCAGCATCTACACCCTAGCTACACCTTCCTCACACCCTAATATACTGTCCTTACTCTCTCGTTGACTGTGTACTGAAGAGACTCCACGCAGGTCTTGTTTTCCTTCTCATTCTTTGTTTACACTCACAGGTTAACATTTTGGTACACCCTCCTCCTACACCCTCCCCCACACCTCCTCCCACACCCACGTCCATTACACCCTCTTTATACGGACGTCGCTACACCCACACTAAATGAACTCCCGGAACACTTAAAAAAACACTCACCCACCCTCCTACACCCTCTGACAACACCGTGGCTGACAACCTGACACCATTTCACTGGATGTCGTTAGATAAAACAGTAACAAATATCTCGACCATTCTTAAAGGTTTCTACGATAAATTTTCCGCCTTATCTTGAAATTTGGGAACGTATCTAACTGCTTCACTTAACTTACGACAAGAAGATCGATTCATAGAAGGTTGTAAGTTAAATGTCCTCACTAACTGCATATGTGAGGCCGTATATAACTGCCTTAACACAATAGATCGATTTTCAAAGGTTCGCAAGTTAAAATTTCTCCTAATCTTGAAATGTTAAAACGTAATTGACTCACTTAAACTGCGACAAAGAGTTGGTGGTTAAAATGACGTTAAAATTGCACTGAGGCTGTACCCAAGCTAGATACGTTGTCAGTACCAGAGAGAACCTTAATGAACGAACCTTTGAGACTTTGAGACAGTGAACTCCTGCAGGCATACAACTCACGTACGAGAGTTTGGATGTGTTTTGACAGCAATAAGCAAAGTTTCGAACCATCAACAACTTCATAATTACTGAAGGAGGTTCGAAAAGTTGTGTTAAATCGCTTGAACTGTTGACAATTTCGCCCGAAACTTTATGAAGCTGACTAGAAACATCGTTCACTCGGCTCGAAGTGATGTCCAGATTGAAATGTTGTTGCCACTGCTATTAAAAATCTCGTCATGGTTCATGCTGGTTCGAAATGTTGTGGTGATTCGCTTGAAATGTTGACTACATCGCTCGAAACATTATGAAACCGATTTGAAACGTCGTTCATTTAGTTCGAAGCGATGTCCAGATTGGAACACCCGCTCCAATTTGTTAGTTTTTTGAACAATTATTTGACACTTTTGTTCTCTCACCAACACAACACCAAAATAACACTACTTGACACACAACACACACTGCAACACAATACATGCAACACACCACAACACATATGGTACACTATACACGTACACCCTGTCAATACACAGACACACAGTCGATACATTACACTACACACTATATCAGAGGTCCACACCACACTTCCACCACATCACACCCTCGGGACACTGGCCACACCCTTGGGACACTGACCACACCCACGGGACATTGGCCACACCCTCAGGACACTGGCCACCCCCTCGGGACACTGGCCACACACCCTCAGGACACTGGCCACACCCCCTCGGGACACTGACCACCCCCTCGGAACACTGGCCACCCCCTCGGGACACTGGCCACCCTGACACTGGCCACCCCTCGGGACACTTTGCACCCCCCTCGGGACACTGGCCACATCCTCGGGACTGGC